CATTGGGGATTCCCTGGGACGGTGCCGGGGGAGAGAAGGGTGAACCTGCAGGGAGCTCCCCTCCCCACCCCTCACCAGCTGAGCAGCCTAGAGAACTCCAGGCTGAACGCTTTACAGACCCCTCCGAATCAGGCTCAGAGTCAGGCTCGGGGGTGAGGGTGGAAAGGGAGGAGACCCCAGGATTTAGGGTCACAAGCCATCAAAGACTCTTTTCCCATCCTCCCCCTACCCCAAACCAAAGTACATGACAAGCAGCAGCCCTGGGCTGGAAGGTGTGTTGCCATGATGGTGTGGTCCAGGGGAGCCAGAGGGGCGCTGGAGGGGCTCCCACTGCCTGGGGCAAGCAAGAGAAAGGACAGGCCCTCACCTTGTCGATGAAGGAGGCGAACTTGTTGTTGAGGGTCTTGATCTGCTCCTTCTCCTGAATGCGTACCGCCTGGATGTTGGGGTCCACCTCCAGATTCAGGGGGTTCAGTAGGCTCTGGTTCACCTGGACAGCTGTGATGCCCCCCACACCAGCAGCCCCGCCATAGCCGCCTAGACCCAGGCCACCCCGGAAACTGCTGCTGCTGCCCATTCGGGAGAAGCTGGAGGAGCTGATTCGGGAGCTCGGGCCACTGCTGTAGGAGAGGCTGCTGAAGCCCCGGGGGCCGGAGGTGGACACCTTGTAGGTCTTCTGAGTCACCCTCATGGACATGGTGGAGGCTGGGGTGAAGGCAGGAGAGCTGCAGACAAGTAGGATAATCGAAAGAAGCCAGGCAGCTGCTTCTGGACGGTGGGACTGCACCCAGGAAAGGCCCCTTATAAAAGAGAGCCTGGCCGCAGGGGAGGGAGGAAGGCCATGTACCTGAGTGGTTGGGCCCCAAGGGGGCCGGGCCTAACCCGACACCAGCCACCTGCAAGCAGGGCTCAGGCGAGGGCAGCAGAGAGCTTCTCCCTCCTAGGAGCCCACTCCAGCACCACCCCAGAAACCCAGGAAATTGGAAGGAAGGAATGTGCCTGGCCTTGCCAAGCCCCTTAAAGTAAAAAGGACACATACCTGGGGTCACTCAGCCACCGAAACTCTGACTGCTCGGTCTTGTCTCTGTCCCTACGCTGAGCAATAACCTAAAGGTTTGGGAACCCTGGCAGGAAAAGATCCCTAGGCATTTGGGTCTTTTCTAAGCAGCCAATGTCCCAAAGACACTTGTATAAGGATCTGCCCAGGCTGGACAGCAGGCCTGATTCCTAAGCATTGGGTATGATCTCTGCAGTTTCTCAACTCTCCCCAGGTTATTGCTGTGTCCCAGCACCTGGTGTAGTGCTCAGAGGGGCTGGGTAAATATTTGTAGAATGAATGAACAAATACACACACACTTGCTGTCTTCCCTTTGGGTCTGTGGGTGGGAGATAGAGATTCAACCCAGCACTTTTCCTAGACACAACTCAGTGACCTCTTTTCTTCCCAATATCCCAGGATTCCCCATGCCAGGTTGACACCATAGGCTTTGCTGAGGGGCACAGAGAAGAAACAGGGGTGAAGTATTGGGGGTCTTCACTGTTTTCCTAGTTCCTTGGGGGCAGTCATTATTATAACGAATCTCGAGAGGGCCTGGGATTTAGCTCAGTGGTTCTGCCGCCTGCCTGACAAGCGCAAGGTCCCGAGCTCCATCTCCGGTACAAAAAAAAAAAAAAAATCTCAAGAGGTAAGACAGGGTGATTGAGGAGGAGTAGCATGGGATGGCACAGGTGAGTCATTTGAAGTCACCTGGACCCTCTGTCTCTTTCCAGGCCCCCAACTGGCCAAAGGAGGTGGGAAAAGCATCCCTGCACCTGTCTCCTGAGCCCATTATCCCAGTGAGTCAGGAGAGCAGGTTGGGGCAACGAAGGCACCTGCAGGAGGCTGGAGAATGGGGAGCAGAGCAGGGCACTCCCAGGCTGGGTGGGGCCCGCAGGGCAGTGTGTGGGTGGAAGGCAGGAGGTTTGGGTCCCCAAGGCAGAGATTCCACCTGCAATTACCTGGTGGGTGGGGCTGGTTCTCTGGAAGGTACTGCAGGGCATGATGTGGGGAATGGATGGATCTTAACTAGGGAGACCAACAGATGACAGTTGTCAGATCCCTGGGGGAGAAGGGCAGGTGGCACAAGCCCCCAGCCCAGGAGGCGGTGACCACCTTACTGGGAGGGCAGATACAATATGTGGATTCCTCCCATTCTTCTCCAGAAGTGACAGCCAGGATCCCTACCCAGAGGCATAGAGAAACCCAAACACCCTTCTAGAGGCAAATACAAGTCCAGGAAGGCACACAGACCCAGCTGTACAAATCCAGAGATTCCCTGAGGACACAATGGTCACATCCCTTCCTCCTCTCCCCAGTTTACCCCTCCTCCCCAGGGCCTGGCCTCCAGACTTCTGGGCCGAGAGAAATTCACTCACTTCCTGTTTATACCAGGCCCTCTTCCAGACCCTTTAAACAATGCTTCATTTTTGGAAGGCTGATTTGAATGCATGCCACCCCCACTCCAGCAAACACCCACGCCTAGCAGGAGTGAGAGACTTTCCTAAAACCAGAGGGAGGGAGGGAGGCAGGATGGGCCCCAGGCCAAACCTGGGACTGAGAAGGCGGAAGCAGGGAGGGCGGGGCTGATCAGACAGGTATGGTAGCTCTGGAGAGGGCCAACAACCGGCTCTCCCTTTCTTCTCCCTCCCCTATACTGTTGTTGGCTGGGGTACAGGGGCTGATTATACCCTATGTCCTGATGTAGGCAGAGCAAGGACCACAGAATAGCCACCCACCCAGACCCCTTCCTGACACCTCAGCCCCTCCTGCCACTACCTGGTTCTCTGGCTCTAGGAGTACCTTACTGAAGGTGAGGACAAAGGGGACTGCAAGAAGTGTCCAGGCTAGAGTGCTTGCCCAACTCACCCAGGGGGGAACCCTCTTTCTTTGGACTGCCCAGAACAATCCAAGGCCAGAGACATTTGCATCTTACTTGTCAGCTCCCTGTTCCCCAGAGACCCCAGATACCCCACGCCCAAGTTTGTGCAGAAGATACCAGAGCAGCCACCTGTGGTGGCCCCTGCCTAGGACTTGGGAGCAGAGGCAAAAAAGAGAGGGCCCTGGAGTAGGGCCAAGCAGTGAGAGTAGAGAGAACCGGCCTAGGGCAGCCGCAGGTACAACTCCTTGTAAGGCTGTCTCTGGCCATTGCGGTCTGCATACTGCTGCTTGCTCAACAAAAGAGACTGTGTTTGTGGTGAGGTGACCATGCCCTCCCTGGACTGCTCTGCCTCAAACAGCCTTTCCTGGAGAGCTGTAGGGGACGGAGAAGACATGTGCTGTCTGGTAAACACCAGCTCCCTACACCTGATTGCACAGGATGACTCCATGGAGGACCCAAGACCCTAGGCAGATGAGTCAGGGCTGGCGGGGGGGGGGGACCCGAGGTCAGTGGGCAGGCTGTTGTTATCTTCACTCACAATCAATAAATTCTTCCCAGTGATCATGTAACTGAAACCCGGAGGCTGGGCCGTTACCCAGTGGATAACTAAAACCAGGATAAAGCTCCGTAGTTCTGCCTTCATTTTGTATACACGTCCTTTATTACTTTAAAACTGTGGGTGAGATCCCCACTCGGCTTTGCACGTAGGCATGTTAATCACTTAAGGAGTGCCTGTACTACAAGGTTTATTGCCCTAAATTTACCTAGCCTATCTCATCCCCTTCAAGACTGAGGACACCAAGAGAAGAGTAACTAAAGTAATTTTCAAGATTTGAAGGGGCATCCAATTGCCAGCATTTTACAACTTGGGGCAATGCCTAGAATTCTGTAGCTATTGTCCTAGTTCTACAGGCACCTTGGATGCCAGGAGAGCTTCCCAGAACAACCCATGATGAGGTCTCTAACCAGGAGCTGTCATCTTGGCACCCTCAGTGGCTCTCCCAAAACCCTGTAGAACCAGTCCTGAGATGCCAATCAACCGGGATTACCTGTGCTGCCAGCTCTGCAAATCCCCCACCTAGGCAAACCCCCCACCTAGGCAAACCCCAACCCTTGCCTTTGTGCCCCTTTTCTATAAAGCCATAAAGCTCCTGTCTTCCCCTGGAAGACAGATCTTGGACCTCTCTGCACTTCTCAGCACAGCCATGCTGATTAAAGCTGATTTTTTGCCCTTTACCTGTGCTTTGTCTCCTTGATCAGTGTTATGGGAAGGAGGCCAACCCTAGTCTGTTGGGACCCCCAGAGCTGGAGCTTTTGCCCTAAAACTCTGGTAAGAATTAGGGCTGACTCTATGATTGAACATCACAGCAGCATGTTCATAATGGACAGGGTGGGCACAAGCCAAATATCCCCCAGCTGAGGAGCAGACAGGGTCACTGTGAGAGAAGCACATCATGGAGTGCTGTTCACAAGCAGAAGGAATGAAGAAGGGGGACAAGAAGAAACGGAAGTAAAAATATTAAGGTACATTACATGCAAGTACCAACTCTCCACAATAGATGTAGTCATTACATACTGCTAAACGTACTGCTGATATAGGGGACAAAGATGTAACTCCCAAACCTGCTAGACAGCCAAAACATGAGTTCGTGTCCTCTAAAATTGAAGAATGAATTCTAGGAACAATGGAGGTTAAGAGCAGCAAAAATTTATTGGGAGAAAGAAAGCTTCTGCCTAAGAGAGACAGGAGGGGGACAGGAAAATGGGTTGCCCGCCCACCCCACTTTTCAAAGATGTTCTATACAGCAAAGCCATGTGCTGAGGCGGGTACAAAGTAGGACAAAACTATAAGACCCAATGGAAACTGACAAGGTGGGCATGAGGTGGGACAAAACCATGACCAATCAATGAGATTACAAGTACAGTCACCCTGGTAATATTAATTAAATGGGGATCAAATGGAAAGACAAGTCACATACAAGGAATTTCCCATTTAGAATATCAATCACTGCTATCTGTCTCTAGGGGAAGTAGTACTTCTTTTCCTTTTTATAATGCTAACCAGTGAATATGCCTCAATTGTTCTTCATGTTGGTTCCTTGCTGTGTCGGCTCCTGGAGGGCTGGCACCTTAAGGGAGGCCCTGTCTACCTGCCAACAAGATACCTAATTAACTTACCTATCTATAATACTGTCACACCTGGCCTCAGTAGATCTTCACAAGTAAACAGGCAACACAAACAGGCCGCTCTCAGCAAACAACAGGCTGTTTCTCACTAAACAGGACAGAGACATAAGACAATCTCCCTGGTGCCAAAAGGTCCAGCAATTGTCTGCACACCTGTGCTGACTGTCCTTAGAGACTGGTCATAAATATTTCTCAGATTGTAACCTCCTTTTTTCAATACCTATATAAGTCTAATTCCTTTCCCAGTTAGCTGTTAATATCTTTCTCTTGCTGTTAGCCCATCCAACTATGAATGAAATCTCTCCCGTCCAGCTGCTGCTGTTTCTCTCACACATGCGGATGTAATAAACTCAGCTTTTCCCAGCTAGCTGCTAAAATCTATGCCCAATTTTAGTCCCTGATTTTAGTCTTTGTTCACTGGAGTAAAATTTTCTTTTTCTTCACAAAAGCCTGTCTCTGAAGGGCCAGGTGTGTAGCTCACTGGTGCAATGCCTGAGTTTGCAATGTCCTGAGTTTGATCCTGGTACCAAAAAAAAAGAAAGAAAAAAAAAAACCTACAAAAGCCTGTCTCCAAGCCAGTGGTTTCACATGTGCCATTCATAATAGTGCTAAAAAAAATTTTTATTTTTTTTTAAAAAACTGGCATGTCAGCACATGTCTGTAATCTCAGCACTTGGAAGGCTGAGGCAGGAGGATTACCTCGAGTTCAGGAACAGCCTGGGCTACATAGTTCAAGGCCAGCCTGGGCTATATAGTAAGACCCTGTCTCAAAAAAAAATTTTTTATTTTTTTTATTTTTTAAAGAATAAGGAACGCGGGTCAGAGGTTTAGCTCAGTAGTGCCAGCGCCCACCTGGCAAGCGCAAAGTCCCAAGTTCAGTCCCTGGTTCCACAAAAAAAAAAAAAAAGAATAAGGAATGAAGCCAGGCATGGTGACACACACTTATACCAACATTTGGTAGGCTGAGGCACGAGGATTCCAGGTTTTGAGTTCTTCCTGGGCAATCTAACAAGATCCTATCTCAAAATAAAAAGTGCTGGGTGCATAGCTCAGTCTGAAGGCTCTGGGTTCAATTCCCAGTACCACAAAAAGGGGAGCGGAGGTTGAAGCAGTGATGAGAACAGTATGCTAAGTGAAGGGAGCCAATCACAGAAGGCCACATATTATGTGAGTCCATTTATAGGAAATTTGCCTAAAGCCAGCAAATGCTTAGAGCAGAATATTCAGGAGAGATCACCCAGGCCCGGGGTGATAGAGCTGGGTACTAAAGGTACAGGGTTTCTACATTTGGTGGTAGTGAAGTTGCCTGAGTGTATGAACATGCTAAAAACCATGCAAATATACACTTTAAATGGCTGAATTGTGTGGGATCTGAATTACAGCTCAATAAAGCTGTTATAAAAAATATATATCACAAAAGCATACATGAGCCACATATTAAAGCAGACTTTGTTGGCCAGCACATGGTCGAGGAGAGGGGGGAAGAAAGAGGCTGTTTCCAAGCTGAAGGCAAAGAGGATCCCTGCCTCTGGGTTAGGGTGATGCCACCAAAATATCAAAAATCCCTTTAAAAGATGTGGCAGTTTTAAATGTTATTGGCCTAGAATTAGCTGCACAGAAGCAGCAGAGCAATTAGGTTAACCAGAAAGCCACAGCTGGTGGGCACACCCCTCAGTTAGCTAAATCATGAATAATAGAGCTGACTCTCCCTTAGCCAAAAATTATTCCTAGTCAATGCTTAGCAAATGGTGGCTCTTTTCTTCCTCAGTAGTGGCTTTGATGATCAAAGCCAGCCAGTGGGTATGAACTGATTGCCCAGAGAGGCTGGAAGCTCAGTCCCTGGAAGTACTGAGACGGAGGCTTGCTTACCAGCTGTCCCTTGTGCTCAGGGAGGGGCATTTTGACTCCAGGGAGGAGTTTGAATGAGAACTTCCAGTTCATCCCAACTCTGAGAGCCTTTGATGCCTGAGGTTCACACATAGGAGGTGAGTAGCTTCGAGGATTCTCTCCACTGAAATTCTGAATTGGTAAAAGATATTAGAATTTATTAGAACAAGTACAAGGGGAAGACAGACAGGTAAAACCTTACTGTGGAGGCAGAAGACACAGCCCAACAGTCCCAAGATGATGTTTCCTATACTTTCAACCCCCTCTCTCCATCCAAGCCAAGCCCAGAGAGGCCACTGCCAGACAGCAGGCAGTGAGCCCCAGGTGGGAGCTGCCCTGTACAGTTCCATTCCTGAGGCCCTCCCTGAACTCCAGCCCTCTTCTGCAGCCTGGACATCAAAATGGCCTGCGGGGAGCAGGCCCACACATACCCATTCCCCTCCTTGGCTCCCACCACCATGACCTCTAGGAACCCTCCAGGAGCACATTTGTTGGCCCTAGAAGAAACAGACCAGAGCCAAGGGCCAGAGCCCCTCAGAGTTCCTGCAGAGAAGGGAGGATGGCTACCTCCTGCCCTACCCCAGGGAGCTGGGACATTGGTTCAGCTCCCACGACCTGGTGCAGAGACACTGGGACAATTCCATCATGGCAGTGGGGACAGCTTGGCAATGGGGCTGCTGTCCAGAGGCTTATTGTTCTGAGTTTCCTGAAGGCCAATGTAGGAGGGAGACAGGGGCCAGAGGCCTTTATTCCTTCCTTCCTCTGTTGCATCCATTCATCATTTTTCCACTCACATGCTTATCGGGCAGGAGCCAAAAAGTTGGGGGAGATGAGTTTTCTGGCTCCTGTCAGCCACTGAGGTGCAGGTGGGAGCCTCCTTTGCCCAGAGTCCCTGTTGGAGGTGACTGCCATGGTGTTTGGTCATTGATTCAGTGCATGGCTGCCTGTAGGCTGACAAGTGCTGAGAAGGAATCAGCCCCTAAGGTCTTCACTGTAGGCTAGGAGGAGACAGACAGACACAATATCCAATATTATAATAATGACACTTATATGGTACAAAAAGTGATGTATAAATACTAATTCACTAAATCTTCATAAGATTTTATCAAAACCAGGAGTGGTGGTGCACACCAGTCATCCCACATTCAGAAGGCTGAGGCAGGAGAACCACCACTTCAAGGCCAACCTGGACTATCTAGCAAGACCCTGTCTTTAAAAGCAAGGAAAAAAACTCTATAAAGCACATAGATAATCACCATTTTTACCACACAAAAAATAAAGACTATTAAGAAACATACCCACATCACACAGTAGTGTGGTTTCTTCGCCATGCTCCTAACCACTATACCGTATTCCCCACATAATAGTGGAGAGCAGGCTGGTAGTGTAACAGCCAAGAGACCATGTTGAGATTGGCAAACTGATGCCCAGCAAGGGCAGGGTCTGAGAGGAGACTGAGGACAGGTGAGTTTGATGGGAAAAGAAGCAGAGTCCTAGCAGCGAGCCCAAGGGTCCCGAAAGGAGGCAGCAGGACCCCTGGGCTGGGAGTGGTGCCCAAGGGAGCATCTGCACTCATGCAGTGCTTAGCTGAGCCTGTTCTATGGCAAAAACTTCCAAGATCCCATTGTCCAGCCCACCCTTCCCAGTTTCAACCCCTCAGAGACATCTAGGGCTGTGCTTTTAAAGAAGAATCTAGTGAGATTTAAAAAACATCCTCCAATTGTCTCTATAAAATCCCATAACTCATGGGAGTGGTCAAGAACCTTTGAATGGAGCCTAGTGTGGTGGTGCATGCCTGTAATCCCAGCACTTGGGAGGCTGAGGCAGGAGGATCTCTGAAAGTTCAAGGCCAGCCTGGGCTACGTAGTGAGTTCAGTGTGAACTACATAGTGAGACGCTGTCTCAAAAAACAAAAAAACAAACAAAAAAGAACCTTTGAATGCACTTCAATCCCCATGACTCACCAGACTATCCCAAGTAGGGCCCATTGATCTGCCCTGCCCTGGCCCAGGTGAAGGGAAGGGCCCTTTTCTTGCTTTCCTAATCCATGAGACCTGTGAGCTCTCCACATCTGGAACAAAGGCGAGTCCCACAGAGCACAGTGAAGAGACATGGGCAAGGGGTGGCCTTCTAAGAGATGTTCTGGCCTCCATGACACCTTACCACAACTGAGGTCCCTGCCAACCTTGCCCACAGTCCTGGCCTATATGAAATGGTCACTAGTGTATGGCAGGCTGAGGGGCAAGAAGGGTCTGAGGCCAGAGGTGATCAGGCCAGCGGCTGTGGACACTCAAGGCTCCTGGCCAGTGTGATACATGGGCAAAGCCCACTCCTCACCACCACATGAGCAGGTGGGAAGCTCCCACTCGAGGAGACCAGTCCAGCTCTGTAAAATGAGGAGTGGAGGGAGGAACAGCTGGAACCAGGAGCAGACAAACAGCTACAGCCCAGCATGCTGTGCCGAGCAGGTCAGGAACCAAGGGCACCCATTGAAGCTGGAGGCCATGAATACCTGGGTATCAGAGGAGGCTCCGTCCAGATTAATTAGCTGCCATAAAAGCAACCACAACCAGAGGCAGAGGAGGGGCAGAGGGAACCTCAGAAGGGAGCTGCCCCAAGGCCAGCCCTGCCCACCTGTCGCACCTGTGGGAGTACTGGGAAGGGTGAGTCCATGGCTGACTGGATCTGGCTACACACCAGCCAGTCCCACCTGCCAGTTTCCTCCTTTGATATTTAGGGTGGGTCTGAGCAGCCTCTGATCGTTCCCGTTTCATCAATATCGACACAAGTTTTATGATTCTGGTTAGCATTCAGAGATCTGTGGAATTTGACTTCAGTCATCTGAAAGCAATGATGATTTTCCCAAGGGTGGGGGCTGTTGGTGATAAGTAGGTGTTTTTGAGGGTTTTTTGTTTTTGTTTTGTTTTGGGGGCGTTTTTTTGGTACTGGGGATCAAACTCAGGTCCTTGCACTTTCACAGCAGGCATCAAAACCACTGAGCTAAATCCCCAGCCGCAAGCAGGTGTTTTCTAAGCAGGTGTTTTTGTACATGCATATTATATGAATGCAAGGGTGGGGAGGAGACAGTTTCTCCCCCTGAACAAAGAGCAGCCCCCCACCTGCCCCCACCTCGAGTGTGTCGTGCAGCTTCTGCCCACGCCACACATCCCTGCTCGGCTCTTCACACTCACATAGGAACACACAGCCCTCATTAGCTTCTCCTCTCACACACATACTCCAAAGCTCCTTTACATCCCCGACACACAAGAGCACTAGAAAGTACAGGCCCTCCCTCCCCTGCCTCTCACAGCCTTGTACACACTTTCTCCCCACTCCCATCACAATGGCCCCAGACACAGCCATGCATAATACTCATCTCCAAACATGCAGATACACACTGTGGCTCTAGTCTCTGGCTTGCCAGTGACTGACACCCAATCAACCAGGCTTCAGGTCATTTACAGTGGTACCCAGGTACTCATCATTAATTGGTTCCAGGAGGAGCAACAAGTACCAAACAAATTATTTGGGCTGGCTATGGTATCGAGTCACAAGGCAGTCAACACCAGCAAGTTCTAGCTTGCATATTGAGTACCAACAAATGACAAATACCAGAACAGAATTTTCCCTTCAAAACACGTCAAGTTGGTAGTTGATGCCAATTTGATGAGTTTCAAAGCAGTGGAGTACAAAGTTCTGACTGTATTTACTGTTACAACCCAGAAGTTCAAGAGTGTTCTCGGCTTAAGACCCCTGGCTTGGTGACACCACCATGACTCTGTCTTTCACAGCACCTCTTGGCTATGTTTCCCTCCACATTGGCTTTCTTGCCAGGCAGGACATCTCCTTGCTTCAACAAGAACAACCATCTGGGGGGTGCCTTTTTCCAGATCCTTCTAGCTAAAGTTCCAAGGTCAGCTCCCCTTGAGCTGTCAGGTCACGTGCTTGTCTCTGAACCAACTCTGCAGCCAAGGGAATAAAGGTAGACATTGTCATTTTGACTGCACCAGACCTGCACTGCAGCCCTCAGGAGGGGCCATCAGCCCCAACCAAACCACATAGAAGGGGGGCAAAAAGAAGCAATGCACCAAGAGAGGGGGAGGACACATGATGAACAAGCAAAAACAACAGATGTTCACTACTTACACTTATCCAAATGTACACAAATAAAGGCATGGAAGCCCAGAGAGCTGCAGGGGCATAAAGATATCACTGCACACATCAAGCCCTTGTATAAATACAAATCCTACCTGGCTGAAGTCCACCTTCTGTGCCTTACCAACACAATACTGGTTTCAGATTAAGGGGTGGGGGATTAAGACCTACAGGAAAGGACTTTGGAGGAAGAGGAGAGCCCTTGAGCAAGCCCAGCTCAGAAGAGCAGGATGTGGATGGGAAAATCTAGAAATGTTTTTTGGGAGACTGAGGAAAAAGGATTATGAGTTCAAAGATAGTTGGGGCATCACAGTGAGACCCCCATCTCAAAAACAAAGGAAGGAAGGGAGGGAGGAAATAAGAGAGAGGGGAGGGGAAGGAGGAAGGGAAAAGAGAAAAAGAAACACGGGGTAGGGGCTGAGGATATAGGTCAGCAGTACAGAGAATGCCTAGGCTTTGTGTTCTATCCTCAGGACCAAAAATAAATAAAAAAGAACACTGGGGATGTTGTCCATGTTTTGGGGGAGAGGCTTTAAGTTTAGGTAGATGGAGAGATAGGAGATAGGCAGACAGATAGACAGACAGACAGACCTGGGAATGTGATGAGCAGAAAGGCACAGGATTCCTAGGGAAGAGTGGAAGGGCTGGATGGTGGGAGAGAGTTTAGCTCTTTCTGTAGGTCAGAGGGGCCAGTGGAAGGGGGAAGTAGAAAGGTAAAGCCATGCCATAGGGTCTGCTGGCTGAGGTACATCAGTTAGATGGCAAGAGCAGAAACTAGAGGCAAGAGACTAGAAAGGGAACAATAGCAGCAGGTAGGTGAGGAAGCCTATGGTGTGGTAGGAACAATGGGCTAGAAAGATTGGGAGGGGACCGAGCTACAGCCAACAGGTGTGGCAGGCGACTGTGTGGCTGTGAGTCCAGAGTAACTTGGAGGAACTTCTGGCAGCTCCCTGCTGAACACCAGGACCCTTCTTTCCAGCAAGGCTGGTGCACAAACTCACCATGAGACACTGGGCTCACCCCACTGTGGCGCTCATCCCAGCAGTTTCCAACAACTATAACTCCTTAAAGACAGTTCCTCCACGGACTGTGTCTGTTCCTTTGTGAGGCAGGGCCTCCTGCATGATGAGCATGTGCTCTGACCACCAAGCTATATTCCAGCCTCTCAGGTCTTGTCTAACCTGGACCAATGGAGCTGATTCAAGGAGCTGTCTAGGACACAGGGGAGAATGGGAACCATGTTCCACCTAGACTCAGCTTCAGAAGCTGGGAACTTGAGCCCTGGAGATGAGGTTCCTGACGTGTGTGGAGCTGAGGACTGCAAGGAGGAAGGGACCTCCATCTGCATGGCCCAAGGGATTCAACTAGAACCAAAGGGAAGCCCTCTGACCAAGAGAGGCTTCCGCTCGTTGCCAGTGAGAACATTCCAAAGGTTGGAACTCCTGACAATGGGGTGTGCATGGGCTGGAAGGCTCATGAGGAGGAGTTCAAGCAGAGTGTCAAGGCAACTTGAGCACAGACTGGCTGTCAGAGCCATGTCCTAAGGGCCTACTACGTGCACTTCGCACTCTACTCATTTAAATGCCTAAGACCCTGCCAGGTGCAGATGAGGAAGAGCCCAGGCTCACAGCACTAAGGCAGCAAGGACTGAAGGGTGACCTTCCTGACCCTCACCGGAAAGTTGCCCGAGCCTGTTCTCGCATATTCTGCTCCATGCCCATGTGGGTCTAATACCTAAGCACAGTGGGTATGGAGCCACTTCCCAAGAACTTCGTGACGTCAAGCAAGCTACTTACCCTCTCTGAGATTCTTTTCATGGCTGAAATGTGAATAATGTCTCCCT